TTCAAATAGTAGTTTCCTTTTTTTTAATTTATGGCTTTCCTTTGCCTTGGTACACACCTATCAAAGGTAATCTATTTCCTATTGGTCATAATTCAATTCATGTTTTTGGCTTTCAAATAGAGAAGTGAGATGGGAGTAGTTCTTAATTTAATGGCGAGACCTGGAAAAGAAAGGAGGAAAATGGTTAAGAGACATATGTGTAAAAACATGTGAAAGAGCAGCTCTGGCAAAATTAATGACTCTGTTAGTAGTGAAAAACAGAAGTAAATGGATAATATCCCAAATGAACTATTCCATTAAAATGCAAGGAAGGATATGGAAGGCAAGAGCTATTGGGTAAAAGAGCTTCCCAATCTGATAAAAACATCAAGAGGGAAATGCATTGTGCATCTATCTTATTTTCACATGTCTGGGACTTTCTTAAGTTAGGTATTACAACCTAAAGGAGAATTTTAATGGCAATTTGAAGGTAAGAAATATAGATCAATGAGAAAGAGAAGAAAAGGTATTCCACACCAGATCAGAGCACAGTGGAGGAGGAAGTAATTTTTTTTATGCATAAGGCAAAATCAACTGTCCTCACTTGAGAAAAGACATGGATATCAGCAACTATGTATGTTAATTACAGAATGGGCCACAGTAGCCTAAATCCCTGTAAGTCCCTTTCTGCTTTAACACAGAACAGGAACTCACCAAATGCATGAACAACCAACTTTGATAATACTAGAAATATTAAGATTTAACCCACAGACCCAAAGTCTAAGCCTCAGCATGCATTACCTGGTTGAATCCTCATAGCAAGTCCATGATATAGGTAACTTTATTCATCTCCACATTACAATGAAGAAAACTTGCATCTCTTCAAGTGGCAACTCTGGAGAAATGAGACATGAGGAAGACTGCACAGGACAGACTCGGGTCTGGGTAAAAAGAAATGCCTGCCTCATATATGGTCCAACCCAGGTCACCAGGGTATAACATTACATAGAGATCAGGGATGAAATCTCTAGTTGCTAATGGAGTGATTTTGTCAGGCCTTATTCTCAATGTGTCTCTCTCACCTGGCAACACGTGGCAGTGGTAGGTGGTTGGCAGTGATACTGAGATTTTGAATCCTGGCCAGCTGTTTCTTTCTATCAAAAATATGATCGACATCTGGCAGAGTCAGCAAACGTTGAGATGAATGGGTCTCCACTAATTCATATGTTACAAATTGTGTTACCAAAATTGGTCAAATTCCATTATAGTTCAGCTGCACTTAACACTGAACACACATGAGCCATTAGCTAGGACTTTGACATCTCTTTGCTGTATGGAAATTTCTATTCTGGTAGTAGTTGTATGAGATTTGATCTTTATCACACTTTTCCTGGCAACAGTAAAATTCCATTTCCATCAACTCTGTTTCCTCTCAGGAAAGAAGTCTCTCAGGAAATACTCAAAACATTGTTCTCAACAAAGTTCTCAAATATGAATCATTTTCAAGTGCCAGGAAGACACTCCCTCTCTCACTGTTTTGCATCATAGTACATTCCCTAAAATGACAGTTTTGGGGTATGACATACTTGAAAAAAAAAGAAAAAACACAGTATATTCTTCATTTTCCCCCCTCTATGACTTTGCTCAAGAAGTTCATTCTGCTTCAACTATATTCTCTCTTCTATCTGCTTGTCCAAGTCCTACCAACTCATTCATTCAATAAATATTTCCTGAGCACCTACTAGTTTGTGGTCCTATAATAGGTGGCAGGGGTTCAAGTAAGTGTATTAAGGAATTAATCAGGCAAAGATTAGGGGATGATCATTATAGGCAGTGGGACCATCATGTGACATGCTGAGAATTTCCTTCAAGAAAAAGCTTCCCAGAAGAGGAAACATTTAAAAGTGGCCCTTATAAGGATAACTAGTAGGAATTAAATGGAAGAGGAAAGGCATTTATGGAGGCTAAGAGGAAAGCCAACTACAAGGACCACAATTGAGCTGCTGCCTCAGAAATTCATCCTAATGTTTATGCTGAAGCCATGACTCCAATGGGCTATACCTACCTGATCAATGCCTGAGTATAGCAGGGACAGGATTCCACTGACTGCTGACTTTGGACTCCCCCAAGGCTTTTCTGAACCTTCCTTTAACGGCACAGTAGTCTAGAAAGCTTCTGCCTAAGCTACTCTCTCTCCTCTTCACTAGGGGTCAGGCTTGCATCATGGACTAATGGTATACCTACATTTTGATCTCGCTCCCCACTATCTCCTACATAGGTGGTTTCCCTTGATGAAATCCGTGCCAGTTTAATCCTAAATTTGTTTCTCAGGGAACCCAGATTAACACAGCAGTCTAGACAGAGGGCCTAGCATGAGTAAACACCCAGAGGTACGAAAAGTCATGAGGTCCTCTGAGCATCCTAAGGAGTAGTGTGTGCCTCGAGTTTGCTGTGGAGGTATAGGTATAGAGGGAGGAGGAGCTGAGCCAAATCAGAGAAGCCTTGTATGTCTGGTGAAGAAACTTGGACTTGGTCCTCTGAGAAAGAGAGTACCATCTGAATTTTTTAAGCAAGGAAAGGACAAATGTTTTCAAAACACTGTTCTGCTTGCAGAATGGAACATAGACTGGATGGAAGAAGTAAATGTATGTATCCTTCCATCTTGGCTGCTAGCTTGTGAGTTCCTAAAGAGTAGAATCATATTTTTTATTTATTTTGCTTTAATCTCTATGCCCCTATAATGCTTATAATAATGTTTAACACGAAGTAGCTACGCAAGAGGCCCCACCATATCTATTAGGCTGGGCCTCAACTCACTGCCCAACATTTTAATTAAAATCACCCAAAAATTTAATAACCAACCTTTGAACATTACTGCTGGGACACTGAACTCTCTGTGTAGCCAATCTAGAATGAGAAAGTTATAGGCATGAAGGGTAGAAGTTATTCCCAACATGTTATCTTCCACCAACTAGTTATTTCATGAACTCTCGTTGAAGCCGGGCATCTATTCACATTTGTTGATCCTAATTGTGGAGACAAAGGTAGTCATTAGACAGTTTTTGAATGTGTATGAGATCAATGAAGTTTAGAGAGCCAGACCAGGCTCAAGGCCCAGAGGTCTTATGCACGGCACTGGACAACAATCAGAATTGGGTTTTGGATTTAGGTACAATATACAATGGTGATCTTTGGGAAAACATATCTCTAAGGTCTATTTTTTTTTCCATCATAAAGTTTATACTTTAAAAATAATACCTACCCTAATTTATAAAATGAGATGATGTCAATGTACTTTGAAAACAGTAAAATATAAAATATTGCACTGTCACTTAAAAAATCTGTTAAGAGGGTAGATCTCAAGTTAAGAGTTCTTACCACATACACAAAAATAAAACATAAGGGCAGGAGGAGACTTTTGGAGGTGATTGATATATAAATATATATTACCCTGATGGTGGTGATGATTTCAAGAAGGCATGCATATGTTCAAACTCATCAAATTGTATACATTAAATATGTGCATTATTTTGCAAAAACACTCACACCTCAATAAAGCTGTTTAAAAAAAGAAGACTAGTGACTGCTAATTCTGACTTGCAACAATATCAAGGGATGTTGTGATACTGTCCAAAAATTCTCAAAATACAATTGATTTTCCTTTACTTCCATCTGTCAAATAGCACTTTTAGTTGAAAGGGTACTGCTATGGAATGAAATAGTAAAGAGAATCAATTCCTAGAAGGCTATGCATTACTGGAGCTGGAGTCAACAGCCCTCCTGTGGTCCTAGGCACTGAAAGGTCATTCAATGATGGCCTGCTGCCCTTTCTCAGACTCAACTTTTTTTCTCATTGTTATTTCCAACTTGACTGATGAAACGCAGAAGCTCTAGGGGCCCTACTTATGATAACCAAAATAACCTTACTGAAAAAGGCCATCATTACCTCCAAATAGCCTGAAGTGGTTTGTGTCAGTTAGAGAAGAGAATTATGATGACTCAGAAACTGTCAGATTAGATAGGCATGAGCTAAGGGACTAAAGCTAGCTATCAATGGTTGGTTGCCCATGTAAAATGAAAATGGCATCCTGGTTCTCTGGGCTGAGACAACTATTTCTAGACCCCCCCACAACACACACACACACACACACACACACTCACTCACTCTCTCTCTCTCTCTCTCTCTCTCTCTCTCTCTTTCTTTCTCTCTCTCATTTCTAAAGCCTAAAGCATTCTGCAGAACTTTTAAAATCTTCCAATTTGCAAATTGATTTAGTAAATTGGTATTGTTTTGACTCACGAAGGACACTAGTAAAAAGTAGAGGAAACTAAGTTCATTTTTCTAAAAAGGAACTTGCTCTAGGCTATTTTGGCAAAAGAATTAAACATACTGTAGAAATCATTCTAAATTACATCTGGCATTTTCCAAATCCAAATTAATTATTTCCAGTTATAAAGTACATTTAATAGTAAGAAACCAATAATTATGATAGTAATGGACACTATTATATTGCACACATTCTATGTACAAGGCACTTTACAAATGTCTGTATTCTTCATAACCTATGTTAATATTCTACATTTGAAATTTTTAAAAAATGAGTCTCAGTGAGACAAATGTGCCACAAATTAAGTAAATGGCAGAGCTGAGATACAAACCAAGTTATCTAAAAGCCCAGATTCTTAGATGGCAATGAAAGGCGGGTGGTAAAGTGGCTTTCCCTTTCCTAATCTCAATCTCTTCCCTATCCTCCCTGTCCCTGTCCCTGTTGTTCTTCCTCCCTCCCACTCAGATACTTGCTATCATTCATTTCCACAGAAAGGCGATACAATGTAGTGGGCTGACCATGGGGTTTGATAAACAAACCTGCACTTAAGTTGTGACCTTGCAAGACTTCAGTGGTACAAATTACGTGATGGACCTCCATTACCCATTATTTTTGATTAAATAAACATACACACTGCCTAGTACATAGACACTTGCTGTATTTGTGCCTTTCCTTTTGCTCTCTTTTGATAGCCTGAAGATCAAATGAAGATGAAGTAAAAGTACTCTAACAAGGATGGAAGTGGTCCTTTCTACTAACCTACAAAACACATATATGGTTAAGTAATCGTAAACAACTTTGTGGCATCTAACCATGATTTTTATCCATAAAATATAAGGGAATAATATATAATGGTCACATGGGATTTAGCCTACAAATGCAAGTTTGGTTCAACATTCATAACTCAAACAATGTCATTCACAATATCAATAGCCTAAGGAAGAAAATCTATATGAATATTTATATAGATGCAAAGAGTGTGACATTCATTCAATAGCCATTTATGATTTTTAAAAATACTCAGCTAATTAGAAATAGAAAGAAACTTTCTCAGCCTAATAAAGAACATCTATTAAAAAAAACTCACAGCTAACTCATACTTAATGATAAAAGATTGATTTTCCCCTATAATCAGGAATAAGGCAAGGAATCTGCTCTTACCACTTCTATATAACATCATACCAGATGGAAGTCCTAACTAATGCAGTAAGAGAAAGAAAAAAAGATAAAATTGGAGAGGAAAAATAAAACTTTTTTCTTTCTTCACTGAAGGCATAGTTATAAAAGCAGAAAGTCCAAAAAGCATCTACAAAAAACTACTAGACCTAATAAGTGACTTCAGCAAGGTCGTTAAATAGAAGGTCACTATACAAAAACCAATTATAGTTTTACATACAAGCACGGAGCAACTGGGGGCTGAAATTTTATAGGCATCATTTATAATAACATCAACGTCTATGCTATACTCAAGGATCAATCTAACGAAGTATTGCAAGATTTATATGTTGAAAATTATGAAAAACACTGATGAGAAAAACCAAAGAAAATGTAATCAAAGAGATAAACTGTGTTCATGAATCAAAGGACTCAACATCATCAATACTGCAGTTCTCTCCCATATTAATCTATAGATTCAATTCCACCCCAAATAAAATCCGAGCAGGTTTCTCTCTTAAAAAATTGCAAGGTGGTTCTAAAAGTCATATGGGGAAACAAATAATCTAGGATAACTAAAAAAAATCAAGAAAAGAAAAAGTTGGAGGGCTCAAACCAACTGATTTCAAGACTTAGTATAAAGCTATACTATACAAGACAGTGTGATACTGGCAAAAGGATCAACACATAGTCAACAGAACAGAGCAGAAGAGAAATTGATCCATGCATACATATGGTCAATTGATCTTTGATAAAGTGGCAAAGTTAATTCAGTAGACAAAGGACAGTCTATTAGTCTTTCAACAAATGGTGCTTCAACAATAGAACATATCTATATTAAAAAATGAACCTCAACCCAAACAGTGCTCTTTATACATAACTTGAATTTGATCAAAGACTGAAATATTTCTTACATAGGACAGAAGAAGCATGAACCATAAAAGAAAAAAATATTGATAAATTGAATTTCATCAAAATTTAAAACTTTTGCTCTTTGGAAGACAATAAGAAAATAAAAATAAATAAGAAAACACGCCTATCAACAGACGATTGAATAAAAAAGTTAGGGTTCATATATACAATGGAATATTACTCAGCCATTAAAAAAATGAAATCCTACCATTCACAACTACATGGATAGACCTAGAGGTAGGTTATTATGCTGAGTGAAATAAGTCAGACAGAGAAAGATAAATACCATATGATTTCACTTATATGCAGAATCTAAGGAACAAAAAGAACTAACTGAAAACAGACTCACAAATCAGAGGATGATCTGGTGACGGCCAGAGGGGAGGAGAGTTGGGGGATTGAGAGAAAAGGGTTAAGGGTTGAGGAAGTACAAATTAGTAGTTGACAGATGGTTATGGGGTTGCGGAGTACAACATAAGGAATGCAGTTAGCATTAATGTAATGGCTAGGTGAAGAGCCAGAGGAGAGAGAGAGCAATTAGGGGGATCATTTCATAAACTATATAAATGTCTAAACAATATACTGCATACTTGAAACTAATAATAAAATAACATTAAAAAAAGAAAACAAGACATAGACTGGGAAAAATATTTGTAAAACACATGTGACAAAAGGCTGATAACCAGAATACATAAAGAACCCTCAAAATTGTGTCTGTGTGTGTTTGTGTGTGTACACAGACACAAAACTGTCTATTTAAAAACTTGCCCAATTAAAAACCATTAACAGACACTTGCTCAAAATCATTAGTCATTAGGAAAAATGCAGAATAAAATTACAATGAGATTATCACTAACCAACTACTAAAATGGCTAAAATTTTAAAAGACAATAACAATGTTGGCAAAGATACTGAAGCAACTGGAGCCTTATATATTGCTGATAGGAATCAAAACTGAGTCACTTTGAAAAGTCTGATCATTTCTTATAAAGTTAAACACATAAAAAAACAAGCCATCCCGCTCCTTGGTATTTACCTAAGAGAAATAAAGATATATGTCCACACAAACATCTGAATATAAATGTTTAGAGCAATTTTATTCATAATCAACTGTTGAATGGATAAACAAAGTGTAGTACATTCATATAGTGGAATTTTACTCAGCAATAAAAGGCAGCAAACTTTGAATGCATGCAATGACATATATGACTCTAAAAAGCATTACGCTAAGTGAAATACGCCAGACTCAAAAGGTTATACGTTTTGATCCCATTTATATGAAGTTTTGAAAATGACAAAACTATAGAGACAGATATCAGATCAGTAGGTTGCCAGGGGTTGGTAGTATAGGGAAGGGATTGACTACAAAGGAGCATGTGAGAACATTTTACATGACAGAAAATTCTATTATCTTGATTCCAGTAGTGGCTACAAGCTATATATAATTTTGTCAAATTCACGGACTTGTACATACTAAAAAAAGGAAAATTTTACTGTATGTAAATTATACCTCAATAAATCTGAAAAAATGCACAACACTTCAAAATAGGCCAACTATTTTATGCAGAGATCTACGACTAATCTGAACTAAAAGTGCTGAGTTTTAACTATAAGTTTAAGATTCATGATTAAAGAATAGGAAGATAAAGATAGTTTTGCGTGTCTTTCAGGGCTCACTGATAAAATTGTGTAAAAAAGGCCTGTGGGAAGAAAGTGATAAATATGTAACTTAAGACCGAAATACCACATTTGCTATTTATTTGAAACAGATTAACCTAAAATGATAAATGGCCACTAACTGTCATTACCAATTGCTTGAGTTTGTAGCTGACTCATTCAAAGGACTGCCTAATGAGACAGGAACCTGTTCAAGTACTAATTCTCATTAATTTACAAGTGTTCTGATTTATAAGAGCAGAGAAGAAGCATATTCATTCTGTGTGATTTCTTTCTCTTGATTAATTTTGAAGAGACACAGTAGAAGCTTATCTTGGCAGCAAAGACTGCAGGGCAGAAGAAGTTAAAGAGTTGTCCTATCCCCACTCCCACCCCCAAGGGCCTTTCTCCTTGTTTGGAAAGCTATTCAGTGACGGTTGTAGGCAGGTGTCTAGCAGGGGTCCCCAAACCCCAGGCTGTGGACCGGTACCGGTCTGCAGCCTGTTAGGAACTGGGCCACACAACAGAAAGTGAGCGGCAGACAAGTGAGTGAAGCTTCATCTGTATTTGCAGCCGCTCCCTAGCGCTAGCATCACTGCCTCGGCTCCACCTCAGATCACTAGGCATTAGATTCTCATAGGAGCACCGGTCCCTGGTGCCAAAAAGGTTTGGGGCCACTACAGTAGTGGATAAACCAGCACGCATGGTCCTGGGTTTGTAGGGAGCTATAGTCCAAACAGTGGTAGTAGTCATTTAAGTAGCATTCTCAGAGCCCCAAGGGAGACCTAAACTGACAAAACATACTAAGAAGACTTGTCTTCATTTCTTCACTCACTCATTCATTCGTCTAACAAATATTTTTTTCAATTTCTAAATATTTATATTTTAAAGTAAAGCACTACTTATATCTCCTACAAATATACATTACATATTCAAACACTACTTTTTTGGTTAGTGACTAGTTTTAAACTATATTTGTCTGATATGATGTATGCATGTGTGCATATATATATATATTATATATATAATATACATATTATATATATATATAATATATATATAATCACTGGCACTGGGAATAATTTATGATAAAAGTGGTCAACAGTTTTAACAAAACCAATCTCTTCAGCCAATGTGATTAAATTTTCTGATAGTTTGCTGCCAGAACTTTTTTGAGGGAATTACTACTGGACAACATTCATATGGTAACGTTTTATTGAAAAAGAAATAAACCAAATGTGCTTCCTTCAGTATCTTTGGATGCTAGACATTTTTCCTCTTAAGGAATTTATTACTAATTACAGAATTTACAAAAGAAAAAAAACCTTTCTCATTTGATGTCATTAACAAATTGAAATGTGAGTGAATACAAGATTAAATCACATTGGAGACAAAGACAAATGTCCATATCTCTCAGCATTATGGCTAGCATTGTACAAGATTAATGTATCCCTTACTTTCTGAGGTATGATTACAACCTGTTTACAGAAAAGATAACTGAAGTTTCTCAAAATTAAGTAAATTACCCAAATTTTCATAGCAAACAAATTACACAGCCAAAAATTAAAACCCAAATCTTGCTGACTCCATATTGAAATTCTTCAGGACTATCCTCCTAAAGAAATATAAGAGAAAAGACATGATGACATTGTGAATTAAAAGCTAGATTTGAATGAGAAATGTACTACTGAAGTTTAAAAAATAATGAGCAGTTGGGAAGAAATGGTCATTCAATTGTTTATAAATTTCCCCAAATCCCTTCACAGAAATAGCAATTTTGATGGCAATAAAGACAAATACTTCAATAAACTAGGGATGTAATATGCCCAAATACTTCAGAATACAAGTGAGTTTTCCAAACCACTTGTATATAACAAGGAAACGATCTACAGTGGTGCAGAGGATAGTGAAGGGAAGATTCAAAAACTGTCCTGAATTCAGGCAGTGAGGAAACGATATCAAATGCTGAACACTGCTTTAAGGTCACACCCCAGCCACAAAAGGGGCTCCAACAAATATTTATCGACTGCTCATTCTGGGCCAGGCTCTGTGTTAAGGCTGAAGACACAGAGATAACTGCTTGGTCTACGATAGCTTACA